CATTTAATAAATATATTTTGAGCCACTCCAAATAGTTACTTTACTCACTCCAAATACACAGTTACTCTGTCCACTCCATAAAGTTACTCTGCCCAGTCCAACCTTTCCACAGTTACGCCAGCCACTCCAACCACACAACAGTTACTCAAGCCACGCCACCCAGTTACTCCGCCCACTCCAGTGGTGGAGGCAAGAACACGTCACACAATTTCCCCAGAAATTGTAGCTTTTCTAGTCGCACTTATTATTTTGTACACAGAGTTGGATATTTTAAAAATTTACATATCTACAAGAAAGTAAGCATGACTTTTCAATAAATGTAACCTGACACACCCACAATTTAAGAAGTCAAACTGTTTGCCAAGGTTTCTGGAGTCCACTGGGCATGTCTCCATTGAGAGCCAGAAGTTCCGACTACCTGATCGCTCTCAGCCAATGAGCTAAGCTCTTAACTGAATGCACAGCATTTCCAGAGAATTCCTCGAAAACCGTAACACTTGAGCAGCATTTCCTCCAGTTAGTGTGGGCATCCACATAGGTTTTTTAGTTCCACAGTGTGCACTCTTTAAAATGGTCTTCAGTAGAGTTGAGCAAACCCGGACGTTTTTTGGACCCCGGACCTGAACATAGACATATCACTGTATGTTCGGGTTGGAGTTTGTGTCCGGCGATTTAATGGCGCGGGCAGGGCAGCCAATCAACAAGCGTTTGACTCGTGTGCCCTTAGAAGCCATCACAGCCATGCCATTAGTAGTAAAAACAATAAAAAAGGCTGCATCACAATAAATAATAAAAAGTCCAATAAAAGGTCCAAAAAAGAGAAAAGATCCCAATATTTACCCTACAGATAGTCTTTGGTGGTGAGGTCTTCTACTGATGTGGTGGATCCACTTGGTATGAAAGATAAAAAGAGAGAAGGACAACCAATGGTGCAGTATGTAAAATTCAAAAGTGAATATAAAGGAGTAATAATATAAAACTCACATTTACCAGAGCTAATATCCAGCTCTGGAGTAAAGCGCATACAGCGGTTTTTATCCCCGCTTATGGGATATAAATGGGTTCCTCTCCGTCACTGGTGTCCAATTCTCAGAATAAAAGAGACAACCAATAGTGCTCACTGTATAGTAGTGTTGATAAAATAATAAAAGAATGTACTTACAAGGCAAGAGCAGGCCAACTGCTCTGTGATGATAGCTTGGGTGGATTGATCCCCACCTAAGGATTTCTTTTAGTACAGGAAACTTCCAGAGATATTTTCCAATGGTTTTTATAAAACCAATAAAAAATAAGTAAAATAATACTAAAAAGCCAGGGTAAAAAGAAAGGTTATGTGTCTTTAAAAAAGTTGATTGGCACGAATAAATGACCAAAAATACTTTAATATATATAAAAGAACACAAATATCCATAACGCGTTTCGTCAAAAAAGACTTTTTCAAATGGATTTACATATACCTGGCTAATAGATGTTTTATAAGGATAAAGCTAATTTGAAATTGGCGCCAAAAATGGTACAACCAATTAGAAATAAAAACATAATTAAAACATTAAATTGCATAAATAACTCAATGAATATATAGATAATAGTACTATGACATGATGTTGATATGTTTAAATCAAAAACGAAGGTGATAAAATGTGTTTTGAAACATTAATAAAAAGTCACATGACGAAACAGCACTTCCGCATTTCGGAAGTAGAATGCAATGCCACATGGGAAATGTAGTCAAAATGGCCGCGAAAAGCGGCCGCATGTAACAGAAAAATAAACAATGGATTGTATAATTAGAGCCTGTACAGGGTGATAAATAAAGTTAAAAATACAAAACGAAGAGGAGAAATGAACTTAAAAACAGATCTTTGCATGCCATTAGTAGTGATTGGCCAGTGCAGCATGTGACCCAGACTCTATATATAAACTGGAGTCGCGTAGCGCCGCACGCACATGAGGTCTTATTAGTGTAGGGAGAGGATGCTGCCGCTGTGAGGGACAGCTTAGGAAAGAATTCTGCAAACTAGTACATTAGTGGAGTGCACTTCATATCCAAGAGTCAAATAGAAGCATCAAATACCGCGGTTACATCGGAGTTTTAAAAAGTCAATTTTTTGGGTGCTAAATAGAACATTAGTGGGGTCCCTGGCAGGAATTTTAAAAGAAGAGAAACAGAATTAGAGAACTTTATCCAACTGAGGAAGCCTGAGTAATAGGCGAAATGCGTTTTGGACTCTACTTTTAACCAAGGACATTTTTAAAGGGACTTTTACTTTTAATAGTCTTTTGTTAATTTTACTTTTACCAGCTGTCTCTGGTATATGACATATTTTTACACTAATAAAATCATTTGCTAAAAAGGACCATTTGGAAACTCTACAGCCTTATTGGAAATACCCACTAAAAGAGTACAAAGGGGGAACACCAAGAATCCGGCTACAAAAGGGTCTGGACAACCTCTGAATGGTCCAAGGAAGCATACAATTAGAGTCATATGACGGTATGACTCTAGTCTTGTGAGTGGAATTACTACTTTTTCTTCTTATTTTATACAATTGAATAGACATACTACGCTATTTTGTATATATGCAATTTTGTTTTACAGATCATTCAAGGTTTAAAGTGGCTCCACCTATTGCTTTGTATGTATTTTATGTATTTATGGTGGTGTAGGGGATACCACATATTAGGTGTATTTGAGCTGCTCACATTTTCTTTCTTCCACTTTGTGTACAATTTTCTTTTACATTAGTGGGGTGCACTTCATATCTGAGTCAAATAGAATCGTCAAATACTGCTGTCACATTGCAGTTTTAAAACTTAACTTTTTTTAGGTGCTTGTGATAAAGTGAAGGCAGAGAGGCCTTTAACATTTAACCCCAGGGGAAGTATGTGTTGTATGTGTGGTGTGCAACACAAAGCTTTGTTTAGTTATGGGCCCCTGGGGTGGAGCATTTGGAGAGCAGGGTGGGCCAATGCTCCACTTCTCAGTTTATACACAACTGGGAGAAATAAGGTCCAGGCCAGAGTTTTTTGGAACGGTCTCCAACCCACTGCTCAGCTGCAGATAATCAGCTGTAGCAGTGGGAATAAACCCCTCCCTGCTAGATAGGTAAAGGGGAGATTGCTGGCTTCCTCCCTGGAAGCAGGTAGGAGAGACGCTGTTCTCTCCTGTGAGAGAGTCAAGTAGACTGAGCACTGGGAGTGCAGAAGGAAGCAGTCAAGGCTGGCTTGGAGCACTGGGAGTGCAGAAGGAAGCAGTCAAGGCTGGCTTGGAGCACTGGGAGTGCAGAAAGGAAAGCAGTTAAGGCTGGCTTTGAGCACTGGGAGTGCAGAAAGGAAAGCAGTCAAGGCTGGCTTGGAGCACTGGGAGTGCAGAAAGGAAAGCAGCAGGCTGACTAAGCACTGGAGTGCGGAAAGGAGAGAGAATTTTGTTTCTTTCTAGAAGGAATGGAAGACACATGCTAACTGAGTGTGGAGTGCAGAGATCTGACAAAGGCACTAGGTTGGTGAAACCAATTCTTGTTCTGTTATAGTTTAAACTCTTGAGAGATAGGGAACTTGATGTTAGTTAGTGCTCAGACCTAGCTAGGTTTTTGTTTATAGGGATTTGTGTTACTGTTTTTTTTGTTTTGTTTGTTTTTTCATTTGCTGCTGTATATGTGGTGGAGTTAAACAATAAAGTGCCTAGAATGAAGTTGCCTTAAAAGACTGTGAATGTTTGTGCCCAAGAGGACCGTGCTACCTGCAGACAAGGATCACAGAGCTAAATAGTACGTTAGTGCGGTGCACTTCATATCTTACAGCGCAGATGTAAACATTCTAATTGTTTTGGTGCTAAACTGCTAAATAGTACATTTTGGGGAGTGCTCTTCATATCTGAGAGTCAAATCGAAGCGTCTAATAGTGTGCTTACAGTGCACTTGTAAACATTCTAATTGTTTTACTGTTAATCTGCTAAATAGTACATTTTGGGGCCTGCTCTTCATATTTGAGAGTCAAATCGAAGCGTAACTTTGATTGGAATTTACATAGGTCACTTGTAATATTGTTTGACACCTACAACACTTGTTACACAGATCTAAGTGATAGAAAACAGTTTGATATTTTCTACACTAGAAACTACCAGATAACAAGCCGCTATATTTAAACCAGTCATCAATAGCTAAGAGGTACTTAAACAATATTGTAATTCTGGGGCAATACCCTCACAAGTCAAACTGAGAGGACAGTTTATAGGGAATTAGAATTGCCTGGATACAATTCTAAAACAATTTCCAAATTTCCTTTGCAGACTTTACATGCTGGAAAAACACAGGTGCCAACTAATGTGGCTTTCTGCAGTGTGCATACCGGCAAGGAGGGCAGGGTTGAGGAGTGGGTGGAAGATGATGTGTTGAATGATGAGGTCCTAGACCCCACATGTAATCAAGGTCATGCGAGTGACGTGTGCAGTTTGGAGGGAGAGGCGCTGGTCGCACAGAGGCAGCAGGGTGCAAAAGCAGAGCATCCGTCCCCTAGTGCTCGTTGGCATTTATCTTTAGAATTCCCACAGTTATTCAAGTAACAGTTGAAGCGATAAAAAGAACCATAACGATTTAACGAGCACTGTCTGTGCGGCGGTCGGACGACAGGGACCCAATATGCCTGATGTAGAAGTTAGGAGTCACAGTGTGGAATGGATTAGCAGGGTCTGGTGCAGGGTAACTGCACGCCCCCTGGTGTTGAGCACCAGCGTTTGTGCGGCCACATACCAGGACCCTGATGCAGCTTCAGTAAAAAGAGTACTGGATACCAGAAGCCATCACCAGACTGATCCGCAACTTGGAACAGTATGTGACATTCACTGTAGCGGCTGTGCCCGCTTTCGACGTTCTCACCCTGTTGCTGCTCGCCTGTCTGCGCTGCAGTGTAACTTTGGCCTTCCCGCTCACTGCCTCATATGCGACGTGCCCACAAGGTGGAACTCCACCTTGCACATGCTAGAGAGACTGTTTGAGCAGCAGCAGGAGATAGTGGAGTTTCAGCTGCAGCACGCACGGGTCAGTGGCTCTGCACCAGACTTCCCTCCAATTGATTAGAGTTAAAGGATTTCAAGTGGACTCATTACAATTACAGGGCCTCTAAAGAGTCCTGTATTGTTATTTGTCGTCACTACCTTCCCGCGCAGGAGTGGGTCATTTGCGCGTCTGCTGCCTTCCTTGCATGTGGTAGCCGTTTGTCAGGGTCCCTGTATGGAATCGAACCCTGATTCCCTGTTTCTTGTGGTCACCATGGTAGGCGCAGTCAATGGCATCTAAACTTTATATGGATTGACATACGAATCCGTTGTCGCTTTCTCGTTGGGGAGCACATTGAAAAAGTGCTCTAGCATGACGAGCTGGGTGATCTCCTCCGGGAACTTGGCTTGATGGGAGTTGAGCGAGTTCTGGGTGGCCCTTGTGTGCGCGCTTTTGGCGTTCTGACAGGCAGTCTCCCTGCTAGTGTAAAATAAAAAATTAAAGTTAATGTTAATTAAAAAAATAATAATAATTATATGTGTATATTAATATGATATATAGACTTATATCTATATAATGTCTATATATCATATATATGTCATAGTAAGCATATTTTTATGTGTGTGTGTGTGTATATATAATAACTATAGTATATAAATATTATTATAAAATACAAATAAGTAATTTAAATTAAATGTAAAAATAATAATAAAAACTTTAAAAAAATTATATCTATATGAAATTTTTTTCTAACTGTATTTTGATATTAATATATATAATTTATATCAAAATACACTTAGAATGAAATTGTGTATATATAAATAAAAATATGTATATTTCGTATGTCCATATACAAAATTACATAAATAATTATATAAATATACACGTAGACTTCAAATATATAAATATGCTTATATATTTAAATTCTACGTTCGTATTTATGTAATATTTTTACGTAATTAAGTAATTTTATTGATTGCAATTTGAGGGACCTGTCTGCCAACCCAGGCCAAAAGTCCAGAGAATTTAATTTAAAACTGTATTTTACCCTGTAACGTTCTACAACACCCTAAAACCTGTACATGGGGGATACGGTTTTACTCGGGAGACTTCGCTGAACACAAATATTAGTGATTCAAAACAGTAAAACATATCACAGCGATGATATTGTCAGTGAAAGTTACTTTTTTTGCATTTTTCACACACAAACAGCACTTTTACTGAAGATATAATTGTTGTGATACGTTTTCCAGTTTTGAAACACTAATGTACAGGTTTTATAGCGTTTTTTAAAGTTACAGGGTCAAATATATGAGTCAAATATTTGTTTTGTTTTTTTATAAATTCTTTATTTTGAAAAGGTTTGTATTTATAGGGTGGGGGTACAGAAGAGAAAATAGGGGATTAGAGTTCTTGAGATGTATATCACAGTACATACATATTGTTCGATATTGGTCAACAAACAGGTCAAACTCATATAACAGTTGTGCACCTTAAGAATCTATTTGCATTGTTTGCAGGTTAACATTTTGCACTGTCTCGTTGATAATTGATCCTTTTGGTCTTGTTTTTTGGGGGTGGGGGCGGGCATTATACCTTTACCTTAGTGGTGTGTGGTCTGTAGTGTGGTCCTAGTGATCACTTGTGTTAGAGCGTGCATGGCTAGGTTCGATGGTAGCGTCTAGTAGTGTGGGGGACCGGTATTGGATAGATGGGGAAGGATGGATATCATGTGTCCTCTTCGTTCGTCTGTGATTTGCATATATTTCGTTTGTTAGTGCGTTTGGTTTATTTGATGAGGGTGGCTTGTGTTATCACGCTAGTTCGCACTAATTTCTATGCTCCTACCAGTCTTTCATATAAGTTTTGATCATGTGGTTAGAGTGGGGGTGTGGATAGGGTGGAGGGTTTGAGAGGTCTACCGTATGCGTTGGTTATCCTAAGTTATTTGTTTGGTGTTGTCCTGCAGCTGAGTGAGTTGACTGTTGTGGGTTTGTGACTGTTGTGTGGTTTCTGTTTGGTCTCTGTGGGGGTATTCCTCACTGTGGTCCGTGAGGTTAGGGAAGGTTGTGGGTTATCTTTTGTTCATCTGGGGAGGGACGTGTGGGTTGAGGTTCGGGAGAGGGTAGGTGAGTATCCGGTTAACAGTCCCCTACTTGGGGTTGTCTTCTGGAGATCTGGTCTCTGTGTCGAGTCTAATAATCTTGGTATATGTTAGTTATGTTTCGGTTGGATGATTTTGCTCAATTAATGTTTTCCCCTGCGGATGGGGGTATATTTTGCTGGTGTTTGTCGGTCGTGGGTTGGATCTTGTTTGCTGAGTGGGGTTTGTTTGGTTTTCATGGCGCTGATAGGAAAGTGTCTGGTGTGGGTCGGTTGGTTGGGTGCTTGTTTAACGGGTCTCACCGGGTGTGTATTAAATGGTGTATTAGCCAAGGATCCCATATTTTGTTGTGGTGGTGGGTTGTGTCGTGGATAAGGGCCGAGAGTTTGTCCATTTCCATGGCATCCTTTGTTTTGTGTATCACGGTCTCTAGAGTGGAAGTATTTTGGTTGCCCCATTGTTCCGCAATTGTGCGTCTAGTGGCTAGTGCAATTTTTGCGTAGTTTGTTCTGAGACCTGATCAGTGGGGCATGGGGTTTTGAGAGTAACCAGATCCATGGGTCCATGGGTATGTCTGTGTGGAGGATTTGGGACGCGAGTTCGGCCACGTTTGTCCAAAGGTGAGATATGTAGTGGCACTCCCACCATTGGTGGATGTAAGTACCTTGGGCACTGCAGCCCTTCCAGCATGTATCTGTGTTGGAGCGTCCCATCTGTTTTACTCGTAGACGTGTTAGGTACCATCTGTGGAGCGTTTTGTATGCTTGCTCTTTATGGTTCACACAGATTGTGAGGGATGCTGTTGCTTCCCATATTTTAGCCCAATCCGAGGGGTCGTTCGGGGGGCCGATGTCCCTTTCCCATATTCTAGTGTAGGAGATGACTTCTGTTTGGGAGGTGGAGTTCAGTTGGATGTATATGGAAGAGATTTGGCCTTTGTGTATTGGGTTGTGCATGCAGTCGTGTTCGAATGGGGTCAAGTTGGTAGTCGCTGCGGCTTTGTGTCAGGGGTCATTGAAAAGACTGCGGATTTGTATATATCTAAATTGGTCAAAGGTGGTTAGTGGGGATTGTCTGGGTAGGTCTTGAAATTGGAGTGGCTGGTTGGCTCTAAAGAAATGGTAAAAGCGGAAGAATCCTTTGTCCTTGTTGTGTGCGAAGTCTCGGGGTGTCATGCCTGGGGGGAATTGTTTGTTGCGTAGGAGTAGTGTGAGTGGCGATGGTTTGTTAATGAGAGGGGTTTTGCGAGTGACTCTGTCCCAAACTAGGAAGGATGTGTGTAGGGTCGGGGTCGTTTGCGGGGTGTCCGGTCTTAATAGTTTCGGGAGCCAAAAGAGTAGTGAGGGATGGTCACCGTCCAGTAGGTCATGTTCCAAGTCTACCCATAGTTTCGTGCCTGGTGGGGCATGTAAGTGTTGCATCTGTGTTATTTGGGTGACTTGATAATAGTTATAGAAGTTTGGAAGACCGAGACCTCCGGATTTGGTGGTCTGATACATTGTGGGTCTTTTCATTCTGGGTCTTTTGTTGGACCATACGAAATTGTCAATTTTGGTTTGAAGTGATTTAAAGTCTTTTCGGGATATCGGGATGCTAAGGGTTTGGAAAAGGTATAAAAATCTTGGGAGCAGGTTCATATTTACAGAGGCTATCCGTCCTAGCCATGATATTGGCATAGTGTCCCAACGTTGAAGGTCTGTTTGTGCTTGTTGGATTAGAGGTGTGTAGTTTGCTGTGTATAAAGTAGAGAGGTGTCTGGGGAGGAGTATGCGGAGGTATCAGATATTGTCTTCCCTATATGGTCAAATATTTTTTACATTGAAAATGGCCCGGTTGGTTACGTTGCCTTTGAAAGCGTATGGTAGCGCAGGAATGAGAATTACCCCCATGATGGCATACCATTTGTAAAAGAAGACAGCCCAAATGGGGTATGTCCAGGCTTTTTTAGTAGCCACTTAGTCACAAACACTATATATATATATATATATATATATATATATATATATATATATATACATACACACATACATACATACATACATACACTGTCTAGGTGTATTTTACTATTAATATATAAATATATATTAATATCACAATACAGTTAGAACGAAATAACACACATCTATATATTTAATTATTTATTTTTAATTATTTTTAATTTTATTTTTTAATGTATTTACATTTTTTTATATTATATATAAATATATATAACAATAATTATATATATATATATATATCAGTATCAGTCTACGTGTAATTTGATACACGTAGACTGATTATTAATATATATTGATATCAAAATACAGGTAGAACGAAATATATATCTATATATATATATACACACATACATATTAATTCTACATACATATTTATGTAATTTTTTACATAATTATTTTATGTGTTTTATTTTTCATATTAAATTATGTTTCATAGCTAAATATTTGATATTAAATGAAAGCCCTGTTTCCCCTAAATAAAATGATATATAGAAACATAGAAACATAGAATGTGACGGCAGATAAGAACCATTCGGCACCATCTAGTCTGCCCAATTTTCTAAATACTTTCATTAGTCCCTAGTCTTATCTTATAGTTAGGATAGCCTTATGCCTATCCCACGCATGCTTAAACTCCTTTACTGTGTTAACCTCTACCACTTCAGCTGGAAGGCTATTCCATGCATCCACTACCCTCTCAGTAAAGTAATACTTCCTGATATTATTTTTAAACCTTTGTCCCTCTAATTTAAGACTATGTCCTCTTGTTGTGGTAGTTTTTCTTCTTTTAAATATAGTCTCCTCCTTTACTGTGTTGATTCCCTTTATATATTTAAATGTTTCTATCATATCCCCCCTGTCTCGTCTTTCCTCCAAGCTATACATGTTAAGATCCTTTAACCTTTCCTGGTAAGTTTTATCCCGCAATCCATGAACCAGTTTAGTAGCCCTTCTCTGAACCCTCTCTAAGGTATCAATATCCTTCTGAAGATACGGTCTCCAGTACTGTGTACAATACTCCAAGTGAGGTCTCACCAGTGTTCTGTACAATGGCATGAGCACTTCCCTCTTTCTACTGCTAATACCTCTCCCTATACAACCAAGCATTCTGCTAGCATTTCCTGCTGCTCTATTACATTGTCTGCCTACCTTTAAGTCATCAGAAATAATCACCCCTAAATCCCTTTCCTCATATGTTGAGGTTAGAACTCTATCAAATATTCTGTACTCTGCCCTTGGGTTTTTACGTCCAAGATGCATTATCTTGCACTTATCCACATTAAATGTCAGTTGCCACAATTCTGACCATTTTTCTAGTTTACCTAAATCATTTGTCATTTGGCTTATCCCTCCTGGAACATCAACCCTGTTACATATCTTAGTATCATCAGCAAAAAGACATACCTTACCATCAAGACCTTCTGCAATATCACTAATAAAAATATTAAAGAGAATGGGTCCAAGTACAGATCCCTGAGGTACCCCACTGGTGACAAGTCCAAGCTTTGAATATATATATATATATATATAATAAGGGTGGGTG